TCGCGTGTACCTCGGACTGCCGACGTCCGCGGCTCGGCGCAGGCCTGCGGCCTTTGGCGGCGCGCCCGAGGGGGTGGAGGATTGCAAAAAAACCCCGGATTGCAAAAAAAACCCTTCGTTCGAAGGATTGCAAAAAAACCCTTCGTTCGAAGGATTGCAAAAAAAACCCTTCGTTCGAGGGTTTTTTTTTCGCAATCCTTCGTTCAAGGGGGGGGGGCGTCTTAGACGGGGCCAGGGACACTCCTCGCAGCACCCGAAGTTTCCCCGCTGCCCCTCTGCCGGCCGACGCAGCCCAGAGAGAGAGAGAGAGAGAGGTCTTCGTCCCCGCGCGGCCAGGTGCTCAGGATCACCAGGGCCACGCCCACCATCGCCTGCCCCCCCCCCCGCTCCCCCAAAGGCCAGGGGTGGGGGAGGCAAGGGAGAGGGAGGGGAACCAAGAGGACGGATGAGGACAGCATGCTTCTCCTCCAGCTCCGTGCACTTATGTATTGCTCTGGTGGGTTTGATTCCGTGTATTTGATCGGGCCGCCACCATTGTAGCAAGGGTGGCAGAGTGGACAAGTTGGCTCTTCCTTATCCGGGGAAGGAGGACCCTGGAGCTGGCAGGACGGCCTGGTCTTATCGTTGTAAAGGCAGGTGCCCCCAGCAGATCAAGGACGAGAGGAATGCCAGTTTCCTCTCCTTACCTAGGTCCTCTGGGTTGGGCGCATGTAGCCGTCGAGGCTTAAACTTCTCCTGCGCCTTTTCGGTGAAATTGCGTGATCTGCGGCGCTGGCCATACCCTTACCTGTTGTGCAACGCAGGATTAGTGCACGTCGTTCATTTCTAGTCGTGCTCATTTCTATGTGTGCTCGTTTCTAATTGTTCCTGGCCCCCTAGTGGCCAGGAAGAGGTCCAGGATAGCACAATTAGAAATGACAGGATCTTGGCCCCACAAAATCAAAGAACTTTCGAACAATCAGGAATGAACGACGTGTAAGTCTTGGCACCTGCCCTCCCCCCAACTTTAATCTATCTCTTTCGCTGACACTTGACACGGTCCCCCAATTACTGCACCCTCCCTCCCGCTCACCCTCCCTTCCTATCATTATTTCCATGCGCTCTTCTCTCTCTCTCTCTCTTGCGTCATCTCTCCGCTACCCTTGCGATCTCGCGTCCGACCCACATCCTCCCGATTGAACCAAGCCGCTCTGGAAGAGATCCCACCTCCCTCTCGCTCTCTGAGAGCGGATGTTGTGCCCCCCGCGGTGGCACCGACGGGTTCCTCTCGCGCATGTTTGTGCAAACTGGCCGTCGCCCTCTATGAATGTTGGTTTGCCTATTTGTGCCTCGAGGCTCGCGCTCCCCGTTTTGATGTTGCAATTCGTACGAAGACCCACGACCGACTATGTCTCGCATTGTGTTTCTGCATGCGTCTTGCGCGCAGTAGGGACCTCCAGGACACAGCCTGGCGGCAATGCCGGTGGTCCTGCGCGCTCTTAACACGCGCCCAGACACGATGTACGTGCAGGTTCGCGTCGTGTCGACCCTGGCGTTGGTTCCTGACACCGCGGGAATCGCTCAACCTTGAACGATCGGCCGCTTCAGAAACGCCGAATCGTTTAACGATGGGCCGATTCTGGGTCGCTGGCTGCGTTCACAGTTGAACGTCGGCGGCGGGGTCGCCGCCAGTCGCCACGAAGCGAACCTGCCGTACGGACCTCCAGGAGGCAGCCCGGCGGCAGTGCTTGCCAGTCTTGCAGACGGACGCCACGCCCCTGTCCGGGGCACGGCGGTCAGAACGCAGCCCGGCGGCAGTGCTGGCGGTCCTGCGTGGACCCTCAGGGGGCCGACCCGCCGAATCCGCCAGCACACGCCGCCGAGCGCAAGGAGGAGGAGGAGGAGGAGGAGGAGGAGGAGGGCCGCTCAGATGACCAGTGGTCAGTTTCAAAAAGGGGATCTGCGGCCGTCGGCGGGCCGCCTCACGCCTGAGGGGAAAAGGAATGCGGGGCACTCCAGATTCCCCCGACCTGGAGGAAGGAGAAAAACTTGTTGATCAGCGCGCACTTGCTGATCACGTAGCCGAACTCGAGCGCTCCTGGAGAACCCTGTCCACGAACTGGCTGCGCAGCTCGTCCGTACACTCCCAACCGATCTCGAGCGCCTTCTGCATGGCCGAGTCCACGAGGCAAAGCTCGTACTCCGTCAGGGTCTCGATGACCTTCTCCGCCTCCTTCGCATCAGTCTGTAGGTTGTTACTGTCCTCGGACTGCACGCGGTACACGCCGAGCAGTTTCGAAGCCTCCTCCATCTTGAGCTGCAGGTCCGTGAACTGTTGCTGCAGCTGCTGAGCCGTCTCGGCCGTGCCCTTCGACAGCTCCTTCAACGGCTTCACCTCGATGTCGGCCGCCACCGAGCCGACCAGGGCGCCGTCCTCGCTCTCGGGCACGTCGGTCGAACTCTCGATGGACGAGTTCTTCTTCATCAGGCCCTGCTTCAACTGTGGTCCGGCACTGGCGATGACCTGGCCCGCCGCCGCGGCGAGGCCGGCGCACGCCGGGTGCGCAGTCGCGTTCCGGTACCTGGAGGCTCGCCCCAGCCTGCCCGCCACGGCACGGCCAGGAGCCCCCAGGCTAGACAGGACCTCCTTGGCGTCCTTGACCGTCCGTTCCACGCCCGCGATGTCGCCCACGAGGTTGACGACAGCCTGCACCTCGTCGAGCGGGTCGATCTTGTCCTCTGCGGCCGCCGTAGCCGCGGCGCCTTGAACAGCGCCTCGAACTGCAGCAGCCACGAGCGACGTCAAGCACTTGGTCGAGACGCCCATCTCGATAGCCGCCGAAATGGCACCGAAGGCAGCCCCCGCCGCTGGGCTGCCCGCCAACACAGCCGCCTGCGTCGAAACCATCGCGCACCGCGAGGCCCCCGCCGCCCGAGGACGGCCTGCCGCTGCCAGCTCCGCCCAATGGCTTGAGCCAAAATGGCTACGGAGGAGGAGGAGGAGGGGGAGGAGGAGGAGGAGGAGGGGGAGGAGGAGGAGGAGGAGGAGGAGGAGGAGGAGGAGGAGGGGGAGGAGGAGGAGGCGGGACTTGCCTCGCAGAGGGCGGGGGTGGCCCAAGGCCCGCCCGCGGAGAGGCGCTCCTCCAGTGGAGGAGAGCCCTCGAGGCCTGCCGGCGGCGGCATGCGGCGCCGCCTGCGGAGCGCTTCGGTTCGTCTCCGCGCGCGGGGCTGCGCCTGTCGACGTTCTGGCGCCCGACATTGGTGGCCATGCTGCACCAGGACGTTCTCTCTCTCTCTCCCTCTCTCTCTCTCTCTTCCGCTGTAGCATGGCCCATGCATGTGGTATATGCTTGTGGCTCCAAGCGAACTGCCCTCCTCCCTCCTTCCCTGATCTTCCCTCCTACTCTCTCCTCCCCCTTCGCCCTCCTCCACCTCCTTCTCCTCCGACCTCTTCCTCCTGCTTCCTTTTTCCCTGCCCTCCCTCCCCTCTCCTCCCGCCTTCTCCTCCTGCTCCCACTTTGTTGCCCGTCCTTCTGCTCCCCCTCCTCCACCCCCGTACGCCCCTTTGCTTCCCAGACCTCCTGCGTCTCCATTTTTTCCATTACGTGGGCCACAGGTGGTCTGGACCCCTTTCCAAGGACTGGCTTTTCATCCCCCTTCGTTTTTTTTGACGGCCCAGGGACCCGTGGAGGGCCCCCAGCCGCGAAAAATGGCCAACGACCTGCCGCTGATATTTTTCTGCACTGCGCGAGAGGCTCTGGGCACTCCCTCGTCCTCCTCCTCCTGCTCCTCCTCTTGCCCCGCCCCTCCTGTTCCGAAACCTGCACGGACATAAACAGCGACGACAGCACGCAGTTCATGACCTGCCCGCGCCGCGCCCCACCCACCCCCCCTCCCCTCGCACCATGGGGGTAGGGCGCCCCCCCCCGCTCGCGCAAGGGACGGTGGCACGGGGACGGGTTTCACCCCCCGCCTCCCGTCGTCGTCGTCGTCGTCGTCGTCGTCGTCGTCGTCGTCGTCGTCGTCGTCTTCGTCGTCGTCGTCGTCGTCGTCGTCGTCGTCGTCTTCGTCGTCTTCGTCGTCGTCGTCCTCGCCGCCGTCGTCGCCGTCGTCGTCCCACCCCAGAAACCACAGAACGCGCTCTCTCCCTCCTGCATTTGATGACGATCGTGGCGCTCATGACAAGGGCGACGGCAATTGTGATGACGACGGTGAGGACGATGATCACGATGGTGATGGTGATGAAACTGATGGCGATGATGCTGACGATAGTGCTGGTGAGGATGGAGAGGAAGATCGCGCGCTTAGAAATTGATGCATTCAACAACATGATCGGCAACGGAACCCAGAAAGGGATTTTAATCTGCGAGGAATGGGAGCATTTCCAAGCACTTCAATTGGGCGATGGGCAGTGGCAATGCTGAAGATATCAATGACACGATATTCTGCCAAGGGCTGTGTTGTGCTGCTCTACGCTGTCACGCGTCGCATAATGACGTGCCAGGGACGCGCCACGGAAAGTGCCAATGGACGTGCCAGGGGACGCGCCAAGGGACATGCCGCGTTGAACTGTGCCGTGCGCTATTGCATTGTGGGTCAAGCAGTCCTTGGCGTCAGAATCCTGACCGAACTGATCTGGATCTTAAGCTCGAGCTGCCTGAACTCGTAGGCTCAGGCATCCGCGACAAAACCTCTCCGTATCCATGGGATCGACGCCCAGAGACCCAGCCCGCGAGGCCGTGGATATGGATATGCTTCTTGAGCAAGGACCATCCGTTCCGGCATTCCTATAGGCCTACCACGATATGTTCTTAGAACCCAAACATGTTCTCATAACAGAAACAATATTCTTAGAGCATGAACCGATGTGTGAAAACAAGGCGGTCCCAGCCAAACGTGTTCTAAGATCGTTTCGTGCAGACCACCAAGGGCTCTGAGAACATTCCTTGGTGGCGACGGCGCCGCCGACATCTCATAGCGGTTCGCCGTGCGGAGTCGACAAACATCCAAAGTTTTAGGGCCCAGGGCAGAGATGTCCTCGATGCCCCGCAACGTCGTTTCCACCGCTTGGCTGACAGTGTCCAATGCCATGCCGCGCGGGGTCCGCTGGCCCTCGCAGACGCAGACCCTTCGATTAGGGAGGCCCTACAGGCAGGTCCGGACGCCTCGCCACTGCTCGACGTGTTTCCCGCCCGCGAGCAGCCCCCGAAAAAGGCAGCGCTGGCCCCCGCGGCGGGCCGCCCACGGCTCGGCTCTCACGGCCCCTCGGGCAGCAGGCGGCTGCGCCGCGCCGCCGCGGCGGGCGCCCCGCCCGCGCGCGCGGCGAGCTGGACCCAGACGCTCTCCTCGGCAGGGCGGGGCGGTTGGGCGCAAAACACAACGGGAGCCCATGCCGAGAGACGCCCTGCTTACCTCCAGGTGGGGGGACGAAGAACGACATGAAGATACAAACTCGGAGGTCCGCGCGAATTTCTCAAATCCGCGCTGGACCCCCTTTCGCTGCGCCTGCGGCGCCGCCCCTGGCGTGGGTCCAGCGCCGACCCGAGAAATCCGCGCGGGCCTCCGAGTTGTTATGTTTATGGCATTCTTCGTTCCCCTATGCTTGCCTCCAGGATGCCCTGGGTTTCTTGGGTTGCGATAGTTTTGCTACGGGAAGCGTGACGCTCCCACACCTAAGCTCAATGAACGTCCTGGGGTCTCAGGGTTGGGCTTCTTGTGGAAGGTTTCTTGTGGTCGAGCTCCTACTGTACTGGGGGGCGATCAATGAGTGACGATCAAAAGCAAGTCTTGCGGGAGACGACGCAACGACCTTGCGCGGTGGCTTAGCTTACGCGGGCCGTCGGCGCGGCACGCCGCATTGAAGACGACCTTCCGCGAGCAGCTTACGCGCCAGCGTCGGCGCAGGCGACCCTGTCTTTGGCGCCGCTCGAATGGGGGGGGGTGGAGGGGGGGGAAGCACGGTGCACCTTTCGGGCCTCCCAAGGGCCCCTTCTCTGCAGCCCCCGCTGTTCCCCCCCTCATTTGTTTCGTCCCCGCACTGCGCGACGCCCGAGGCGGGCGCTGCCACGGGCGGCCGGGGAGCCCCGCCCGACTGCTTGGCACTGGGGGCCTTTACGCTCCCCTCGGATGGCGGGCCGGGCAGTGCGGAACGCGCTCGCAAGGTGGGGGGGGGGCCATTTCCCTCCGCGAGGCGAGCGAATGGGGGGCGAGCGAGCGAGCGCAGATGCCGCTCCGTGCGTGCGCCCGTGGCGCCTCCTGGGGTCGGCGGCGGGGCCGTAGCCCCTCAGAGGACGCCAGCCTAGCGCTCTCTCTGTCCGCGTGGGCGCCGTGCTGCCAGCTGGCAGAGCGGTGGATCCTGAGGCGAACTAAGGGGGGGTGATTGGGGAGGAGAGGAGACTCAACTCATGGAGGAGCAACACCAGTCCGTCGCAGAGCTCTGGCGTCTCGTCTTTCCAATACGGGGCCCCCAGAAGTCCTGACGTCGTTCCCCAGAGCCAGTCTCCGTCCAGAGCCGTTTCTGGGCGGTCCCTTCGTTTTTTTTTTTTTTTTTTTTTTTGTTTTCCATTGTTTTTTTCCAATGCGCTGGAGCTCTGAGGCAGCAGACCGCCCAGCGGACGGAGCGACGAACAGACACGGGTCTCACGCGAGATGTCCTGGCGACGGGCCAGTCTGCCGCCCCGAGCCGTTTCTTGGCGGTCCCTTCGTCGTTGTTGTTGTCGTTGTCGTTGTCGCTGTCGTTGTCGTTGTCGTTGTCGTTGTTGTGGTTGAATATTATTACTTCTAAAGAATAATTATTGTTGGGCCCCCTGGTGCACGCCCCCCTCGCCGCGCCTAGGCCGCAGCCACATTTCCATCATTTTCGTGAGGAAGTCTCAGGCAAAACGGGGGAGTCCGGATCCGGTTGTTTTGTTGACGCCCGCTTTCCCTGTCAAAAAACAATATAAAATGACATGTCTTGTTCTAACATAGCCAAACTTCAAGAATCCTTTGCAAAAAATGGCACGAAGTGCGCACTCGCGCGCGCAAGACGATTTTAACATAAAAACATGAAAAACCCAATGGTTTTTCAAAAAAAAGTTTCAAAAATTCATCCCGCGCGCTCTTGCGGATTTCTTAGGAAACCCAATACTTTTTCAACATTTCTGTCAAACGGGCTCTTGCGAGCAACTTTTTCACGTGCTTCGAACTTCTGCAACAACGGTTGCGCGCCTGCCAGGGCCATCATCCCTGTCAAATAATACCATATGGGACACATTCGTTTTTTCTTCGCGCGCGCACGCCGAAATCTTCAATTGCAGGGGGAAAAGTCGTATACTAAGCTAGCTTACAGAAAATGTTACCACAACAAGTCATTGTACCCATGCGCCAGTGTAGTAGCCAAGGTCGTCCGCAGGCCACGAAGTGAGGTGTCCGAACGTCATAGGGCGGGAAGCTGGGTGTGGGTGGTGGCGAAGAGTCGTTTGGAAATTTGGTAGAGCTTGAACCGGCCCCCCCACAAAGTGGGGGTATTGCCCGCCTCCTATGAAAACCCTGGCACTGGTGAGAACGGAGTGTCCCCACGTGCTAGTAATTGTTGTTGTTGTTGTTGTTGTTGTTGTGGTTGTTGGTTGTTGGTTATTGTTGTTGTTGTTGCTGCTGCTGCTGCTGTTGTTGTTGTTGTTGTTGTTGTTGAACTCTCATTCTTGAAGAATAATTATTGTTGATCCCCCCCCACCGGTGCACATGGATTTTTTTCGATTGAAGTGCCACCCCCGGGGCTCGCACCTTGTTTTTTCTAAAGGAAAGTCTTCCTGCTCAAACTGTGCCCCTGCCCCCCGGGCTACAACAACAACGGCTCCCGCCTGAGACTTCCTCGATTTTTACTCAGGACCCCCGCTCCCGCCTGAGACTTCCGCGCAATTTACTCAGGAAAGGCGCTCCCGTCTGAGACTTCCTCGCAATGTAATCAAGACCCCCGCTCCCGCCTGAGACTTCCGTGCAATTTACGTGGGAACGGCGCTCCCGCCTGAGACTTCTTCGAATTTTACTCAGGACCCCCGCTCCTGCCTTACATTTCCGCGCAATTGACTCAGGAACGGCGCTCCCGCCTGAGACTTCCTCGCAATTTAGTGAGGACCCCCGCTCCCGCCTGAGACTTCCGTGCGATTTGCTCAGGAACGGCGCTCCCGCTCGAGACTTCCTCGCAACTTAGTCAGGGCCCCCGCTTCCGCCTGAGATTTCCTCACAATGTACTCAGGAGTGCGCTCTCGCGTGCGACGTCCTCGCAAATTATCATGGAATTGCGTTTCGGCGCTCAGGAACCACGCGCGCGCCAACGACGCCTTCACAACGTGGTATCTTCCCTCTTCCTTCGTCCTTCCCCCTCCCCTTCCTCCCACTCTCCCTCGTTCTTCCCCTCCTCCTCTTGCAGGGCCCGCGCCAATTCCAATGGCGGGCAGAGAATGTACGCCCCCGAAGGATTGTCCGCCCGTTCCGGTTTGCCCGTACGTCTAAGCCCGCCGGCCCCAGCAAAGAGAAATAATCCCCCCGAAAGGGGTGTGATCGAAGACGAAGAGGGCGGGCATCGAGGGTGTAGGGTATACGTGTTGAATGACTCGCGGGCAAGTAAGAGCGAACAGCTTTAAAATGGTTGTTGTTGTTGTTGTTGTTGTTGTTGTTGAATAGTATTACTTCTAAAGAATAATTATTGTTGGGCCCCCTGGTGCACGCCCCCCTCGCCGCGCCTAGGCCGCAACCGCATTTTCATCATTTTCGTGAGGAAGTCTCAGGCAAAACGGGGGAGTCCGGATCCGGTTGTTTTGTTGACGCCCGTTTTCCCTGTCAAAAAACAATATAAAATGACATGTCTTGTTCTAACATAACCAAACTTCAAGAATCCTTTGCAAAAAATGACACGAAGTGCACACTCGCGCGCGCAAGATGAAATCCTTCCAAAACCTTAGTTTTCGTAGCGATTTTAACATAAACACATGAAAAACCCACTGGTTTTTCAAACAAGAAGTTTCAACAATTCATCCCGCGCGCTCTTGCGGATTTCTTAGGAAACCCAATACTTTTTCAACATTTCAGTCAAACGGGCTCTTGCGAGCAACTTTTTCACGTGCTTCGAACTTCTGCAACAACGGTTGCGCGCATGCCAGGGCCATCATCCCTGTCAAATAATACCATATGGGACACATTCGTTTTTTCTTCGCGCGCGCACGCCGAAATCTTCAAACACCATTGGGTTTCTTAAGAATTTCAGCACCGCGTATCATAAAATCGCACGAATCGCACCGTAGGTCCTCGAAAAACAATCCTTAAAAACAAATGTTTTTCCAACATTTATGTTACATGAGCTCGCGCGAGCTACTTTCGCACGCTCTTTCAACGGCGTTCGCGCGCCTGCCAGGGGCCACAATCCCTTGCAAAAATACCATGCGGGACACATGCGCGCGTCGTCGCGTCGTCGTCGTCGTCGTCGTCGTCGGCATGTTACCACAACAAGTCCGTGCGTCACCACGTCATCGAACAAAATCACTGATCACTGTCACATCCGTAGCCATCTCGGATCAAGGTATCGCCTGTGTTCTTGGATGGGTCATGGCTTTGTCGGCGAAAGCCCTTGACGACCAGTATGGCCCAGAGCTGTCGCGGCCTCCCTTGGCTGACTGCGGCAGCCCGTCGTATACTAAGCTAGCTTACAGAAAATGTTACCACAACAAGTCACTGTACCCATGCGCCAGTGTAGTAGCCAAGGTCGTCCGCAGGCCACGAAGTGAAGTGTCCGAACGTCATAGGGCGGGAAGCTGGGTGTGGGTGGTGGCGAAGAGTCGTTTGGAAATTTGGTAGAGCTTGAACCGGCCCCCCCACAAAGTGGGGGTATTGCCCGCCTCCTATGAAAACCCTGGCACTGGTGAGAACGGAGTGTCCCCACGTGCTAGTAATTGTTGTTGTTGTTGTTGTTGTTGTTGTTGTTGTTGTTGTTGTTGTTGTTGTTGAATTCTCACTTCTGAAGAATAATTATTGGTGATCCCCCCTCACCGGTGCATGCTGTTTTTTCTTAATCAAAGTGTGCCCCTCGACGCTCGCACTCTGTTTTTTGACTGGGAAAATCTTCCTGCTCAAAGTGGCCCCCTGGTCCCCAGGTTACAACAACAACGGCTCCCGCCTGAGACTTCCTTACAATTTAGCCACGACCCCCGCTCCCGCCCGAGACTTCCTCGCATTTTATTCAGGAATCGCGCTCTCGCTTGGGACTTCCTTCAATTTATGCACGAATCGCTCTCCCGGCGCTCTGGAGTCGCGCTCTCGCTGGAGACTTGCTTGCAACTTACTGAAGAGTGGCCTTGCGTTTGGATTTCCTGCAATTTGCCCAAGCGCCGCGCTCCCGACACCCAAGCACCCAGGAGTCGTGTCCGTTGTGGCCCCATGTGCGTGCCCTTCGTGGCCCCGCTGTCGTCCTTTGCGTCCCCCTCAGTGTCCTACGTGGCCCAATTGCTACCCTCAGTGGCCCCATAGTTGCCTTCTGTGGCCCCGCATTATCTGCACTTCGTGGCCCCCGCTCGTTCGCGCTCTTCGTGGCCCCATTCGCATTCCCTTCGTGTCCCCGCTGTCGCCCTTCGTGGCCTACTTCGTGCCCCTCGTGGCCCTGCTGTCGTTCTCTCTCGCTCTCGCTTTCGCTCGTCGTCGCCGTCGTCGTCGTCGTCGTCGTCGTCGTCGTCTTCGACGTCGTCGTCGTCGTCGTCGTCGTCGTCGTCGTCGTGGTCGGTCCCCTGTCCGTCCCTCGTTCGGGTCGACGGTCCGCGGCCGCCCCGCCGATCAGCGCTGCCGCTGGCCAGGCCGACGGTCCGCGGCCGCCCCGCCGTTTGCCGGGGCCCGGCCTGCAGGGAAGAAGGGTATACCCCCCAAAAGGGGTTCGATCGAAGACGAAGAGGGCGGGTATCGAGGGTTTGGGAAATACGCGTTATTGGACACTCGAGCATATAAGGGCGAACAGTCTCGAAACTATTATTATTATTGTTGTTGTTGTTGTTGAGACCGCCCAGCGAACGGAGCGACGAACAGACACGGGTCTCACGCGAGATGTCCTGGCGACCTCACACCGTGGCTCACGCGTGCCGCCAGCGCGGCACGTTAAATTGGAGACGAGGACACTTTCGCGCTACCTTGCGCGGGCAGCTTGCGCGCGAATGTCGGCACAATTGAACTCGTTTTTTTCTACGCCGCTCAGCTGCACCCCAAGGCGCCCTCCTCGAACGACGAGTCGGGCTCCCGCAGAAGCAAGTCGCGGCTGCACCGCACCGGCAGCCACGCTCCGGCCTGCGCGCCGCCGTCGTCGTCGTCGCCGCCGCCGCCGCCGTCGCCGTCGTGGCAGTCGTCGTCGTCGTCGTCGTCGTCGTCGTCGTCGCCGCCGCCGCCGCCGCCGCCGCCGTCGCCGCGGCCGCCGCCGCCGTCGCAGTCGTCGTCGTCGTCGTCGTCGTCGTCGTCGTCGTCGTCGTCGTCGTCGTCGTCGTCGTCGTCGTCGTCGGCGGCCCTTCCCCAGGCCGAGGATCAAGGCTCCCGCCAGTTCTCGGCAGCCTTTTTGCTGGGCCGTCTCTGGGGAAGGGCCGTTTTGAGGGCCTCCATGGCATTGGCCTCCAGTGAGGCTCCGCGGAAGGAGGAGCACCTAGGTGCTCCTCCTTCCATTACCCCCCGCCCGATGAGCAGCAGGAAGAAGGGGATGAGCTGCGAGCTTGGAGGTTCGTCCACCACCTCCTCCTCCTTCTCCTCCTCCTCCTCGTCCTCCTCCTCCTCCCTCTCACTCCTCCTCCTCCTCCTGCTGGCCCTCGATTTCCTTCTCCTGCTCCTCCTCGTTTTTCCTCGTCTTCCTACCCGGCTTTCATGGGCGTGCTTCTGGATGGGCTGGAGGGGATACAGTCGAAACATGACCACAAGAACGTGCTGGCCCAAGATCCGATGGAGATGTCCCAACCGAAAAACATTCCAAGGCATGACGTCAAACAAGAAGAACGTGAGGGTACCCCTTAAAACCTAGGATTGTTCTGAACCTTCGTGCCAACTCTACACAAAGCATCAAGAGTTCCGAACCTCGAAGCTCGAGGCCTTGCTTCTCGCCGCCACGGATAGATTCGCCTCGGAACTCTGACCACGACGCACCACAGGAGAAGGTCCGGGGTCCGACTCTTGAGGAGAGGGGGGGAGGGAGGAGGGAGAGGAGGGGGATGAAGACGAGATGAGGTGGGGGGAGGGGGAAGAGGAGGAGGAGAAGGAGGCGGAGGAGGAGGAGGAGGAGGCGGATGATGAGGAGGAGGAGAAGGAGGAGGACGAAAGGATGGAGGATGAAGCGGAAAAGGGAGGGCGACGACGGCCAGGAGAGTGCCAGCGTCTGTCGGGGGGAGGTGTCCTCGAAGAGCGCTGGCACTCCAAGGGCCCAGAGAGAGGGAGGCGAGGAGAAAGCCAGGAAGGGGGAGGAGGAGGAGGAGGAGGAGGAGGAGGAGGAGGATGAGGAGAATGAGAAGGAGGAGGAGAAGGAGGAGAAGAAGGAGGAGGAAGAGGAGGAGGAGGAGGAGGTTTTGGAATTAACCCTCCCTCCAAGCTCCCTCTTCATAGGCCCCTACAACGGTTCATGTCCAGTGAGGGAACTGCCTCGTTGGAAAACAACCGTTTGAAGATCCTGAAGCATGCCAAAACATTGTTCTCGGGAAGGTTTCAACGCCACGTATCAACCTGACTGCTGCATCTTGACGGTCCGGAATCGTACCAGAGCGTCATTTGTGGGACTTCAACACTGCGAATCAACATAACTGTTGCACCCGCATAATCCTGAATCCTTCCCAACAACAATTTCTGGTACGCTGATCATGGGAATCCGGGAAACTCTTGCACATGTTTAAAACGAATGTGCGCGGCGCTAAAGCGAGAACCACATTTTGAAAAAGAACCGCCCTCAATCCGTGAAACTGTTGCAAATGTTTGAAACGAATGTGCGCCGCGCTGCGGCGCCCTCAATCCGTGAAGCTCTTACACATGTTTGAAACCGAATGTGCGCGGCGTTAAAACGATAATCACATTTTGAAAAAGAACCAGCCTCATTCCGTGAAACTGTTGCATTTTTGTGGGACGAATGTGCGCCGCGCTGCGGCGCTCTCAATCCGTGAAGCTCTTACACATTTTTGGAAACGAATGTGCGCGGCGTGAAGGCGAGAACAACATTTTTGAAAACCACCCACCCTCAATCCGTGAAACTCTTGCAAGGGTTTAAAACGAATGTGCGCGGCGTGAAGGCAAGAACCACATTTTTGAAAACCATCCAACCTCAATCCGTGAAACTCTTGCAAATGTTTGAAACGAATGTGCGCGGCGCCATGGCGAGAGCCATATTTTGAACACCACCTGCCCTCAATACATGAAACTCTTGCTAATGTTTAAAACGCATGTGCGCGGCGCTAAGGCGAGAACCACATTTTGAAAACGACCAGCCCTCAATCCGTGAAGCTGTCTTGCTAATGTTTAAAACACATGTGTGCGGCGCTAAATCGAGAGCCACATTTTGAAAACCACCAGTCCTCCATCTGTGAAACTGTTGTCGCTTTTAAAAGCTGCAGAATCATTACTGGTGAGGAAGTCTCAATCGAAACGCCCGGCCCGCCCTAAAAACAGGCCTCGGGGTGCGACAGGGAGAAGTAATCTATAAGGAGAAGGAATGGAGGAGGAGAAAGAGGAGGAAGAGGAGGAGGCGAAGGGCGACAACGAGAGCGGAAGTGGAGGTGGGATGCTGATGATGGCGATGCTGCTGATGCGGATGATGAGGATGAGGAGTGCGGAATGGGGAGGAGAGGAATGGGGCGAGGAGGAGGAGAAGGAGGAAGAGGAGGAGGAGGAGGAGGAGAAGGAGGACGAGGAGGAGGACGAGGAGGACGAGGAGGAGGAGGAGGCCGCGTGCACCAGCGCTGACAGCCGCCGCCATCTGGCCTGCGGCGCCAGCTCGTCCTCGAAGCCCGGTGCTCAGTGCACTTGGTCGCGGAAGAAGCGGAAGCGCAGCGAAGAACCTGGGCCGTCTGCGACCCACCTGGGCGGCGAAGAGGCAAACCACCCCAGCACAGCAGCAAAGCTGAAGAGGCGGGTCGAGGAGTAGGTCGGCTGGTGAACACGTGTAGTTCTAGGTATTTCCCAGGATTCCCAGGAAATCCCAGGCCTTGTCCACCTCAACGTATGTTTTTTACAAGGGACCGTGGCCGTCCGAACCAAACATGTAGCCGGCACTGGGGCGAGAGCACGATTCCTGAATCATCTGTGAAATAATCTCAAGCGAGAAACGGCTGCAGGACGGGGCGGTCCCCCCTGCGGGACTCTTGTGCTGTTCTTCCTGCCATCGCTCGGACGTTCATTCCCCGTGCATGTTTCGGTTTCGTGCGTGTTTAGATGATCCAGGATGCTCCTCGATTGTCCCCGCCGAGAAAAATGCACACGTCCGAGCGATGCCAAATCATTGTTTACCACTACCAGAGCCCTCTGGCAAAACGCTGTTAAGGAAAAACTGCATAATATCAAAGCGCGTGAGTGTACAACTGCCGTGTGCTCTCCACGCAGCGTCGCAGCACCGCCCTCGCGGCTGCCTTGCGGCGGCGGTCATGCCGTTTTGCAAGAGCTGCGCTGGACTGCGCTAAGATGAAGAGAGGGAGAGAGGGAGAGAGAGAGAGAGAGAGAGGGAGATAGGCATGAACACAGAAGCTCGCGGAGGCCCGCCTGGATCTCTCGGATCGGTGCGGGGTCCGCCGACGCGCGACGATCGGGAGCTCCTGCGTAATTAGCGTGCCGCGGGTGGCGGCTCTGGCGAGACGCCGCACCCTGCGAGCGGATAACACGCCGCCTCGCTCCGCGGGGCGGGAGGATCGCAACTTGGGCGCCCGAGTTATCCGGGGTAACTCGGGTCCGGGGTAACTCGGGTTTGGATTCCCGAAAAACGAACCCGAGTTACCCCTGACCCGAGTTACCCCTGATGATTCGGGGCTCTGAGCAACGGCTCGGGACGTTGTCGCTCGGCAAGGGGGACGTGGCCAGCGCGCCGCGCCGAGGCGCCTTTGGGCCAGCGAGCCGGCGACGCGCGGAGGCGACGCGCGGAGCCGACCGCAGGGGGGCAAGCAGCGCGCGGCGGCGGCAGGGCAGCCTATGGCGGAGGCCCGCCCGGACCTCTCGGGGGAGCGGCGCGAAGGCCTCTCGGTCGGTCCGTGCTGTCGCGCCGCTGCTCCTTCCCGGCGGGACTGCGGCCGCCGAGGCGGCTCTCTCTCTCGCAGGCCCGCGCCGTGAGGACCCGCGCGCTTTGGCCTCTTAGGAGGGCACCAACTATGCACACCAACACCGGTCCTGGCCCAGGATCACGCTGGGCCCAGGATCGGTGTGTATACGCCCTCCTGCCTGGGGCAGGAAGGCATATACACCGATTCTGGGCCCAGGGTGATCCTGGGCCAGGATCGGTGTTGGTGTATAGTTGGTGCCCTCCGACCTCTGGCACCGCGCGGACCGTTCCGCCCTGAACGATAGGCGGCTCTTCGATCGCCCGGTCGTTCCGCACTGGCCGCTTCCGGCGCTGCCTGGAATCGGCGATGCATCGCCAGATCGGCAGTGGGCCCCCGACGGCGGCTCCGCACGCTCCTGGGCGGGGTGGGCTGCGGACCCCATTCGGCGATGCCTTGGCGATTGGGGGCCGATGCGCTTTCCTTGGGCCTCCCCAAACGTGACCCATGAGGGTGGCGTTCCACTTGGGAGCGTCCGCGGCGGAGCCGCCGCCGCGCCGACACGACGAGAACCTGCCGTGCGGTGAGGGCAGTCAAGAGGGAACCACTGGATAGGGAGTGCAAGGTCTGGAAGCCGGTGGAACTCCGACCTTGGATTGGCCACGGATATCACCGCCACCCTGTTCCGAGAAGGACTCCACGAAGGTCCGAGGGCTCCTGGGCATTGGAGGCGACTGGGGGGCCTGAGCTGGTCGGGCCCCGAGAAAATCGGTCAAGGGTGGGGGGGGGTTGAGGCCAAATCTGCTAAATCTAACCCCAGATCCTTCACGGGGTCCACCTGGTGTAAATTTTCCACCCCAGATTCGTTTTTTGACGGTCCTGGGGCCCGTAAGCGGCTCCACGGGGCAGACAACTGCCAAAAACTTTCCCGAACCCGCAGCCTTTAAACCCCCGTCCCCTGGCCTTCATACTCGCCGGGTCCACTATTGAACCACCTCAGACCTCCAGCCGGTTCCACCACGTATCTATCGAAAATCTATCGGGCGCCGCGGCCGGTCCAGACCGCTCCGGGACGCTGGAGAAGGATCCATCCCAGTCCTGGCACAACCCGAGAAGGGCCTCACAAGATCCGTTCGAACGGTCTGTCACCACCTCTGGCACGTTCCTTCAGGGCTCGACCTAAACCATGCTTTCCGTTCTTGCTTTGTTTTCGTTTTCCCTCGTTCTGTCTTCGTTCCGCCTTTGCTGCAAAACGAAATCAACACGAAGACGGTCCACGAGATCGCTAAACATTCGTTTTGGTCGAGCCCTGCATTCCTTAACCAACTTGGGCGCACTCCTCCACCATCGCCCCCACCGTATACTAGCAGGCCGCCAGGGGCGGCCCTGCGCGGGCAGGCCAAGGGCGCGAAGCAGAACGGTGTTCTTTCCATTTTTTGGTTTTACGCTCGTTTTGCCCCTCGTTCTGTCTGTAGAGGCCTCCTAGATGGGGTCCTAGTAGATGGGGTCGGAGGATCGCGCCGCATCCCTGATGCATCGCCGATGCAACGACAACGTCGGCGATACGTGGGCGACGTCGGCGTGGATAGAATATGGCTCCCCATCGAGCTGCATCGCCGATGAATCGGCGATGCGGCGCGATCCTCCGGGCCCACTTGCTCGGACCCCGTCTGGGAAGACTGGAAAACCTCCGGTCCGCCTCTGCTGCAAAGCGACATCGGAACGGAACCGGCCCTCGACAGCTCGCCAAAAGAGCACCGTTGTTCGCTCGCGCCCCGGGCGGGCCTGCGCGTCAGAGCCCGCGCAGCGGGCCCCACGGGTCCCGGGGTCCCGAGGTCGCCCGCCCGCCTGCGGGCGTCCTCGAAGACGTGGCTCACGGCCAGCCCGTCCTCCTCGATGGCTCGGGGAGCGTGCTGTCGGCCCCCAGAGGTTCGAGCAGGGGCTCGACGACAGAGTTGGTCTACTTCAAGATTGATCGTCTGATCGAGTCATGCGCAGCATGCTCGTAGATCTACGAGCATTCTACGCATGGCTCATGGACTCGGCGAACAAGTCAATTCCGGGACAAATCGATGCTGTCGTCGATCCCCTACCCGAGAGGTGGGGCGAGCGGAGGACGGACGCCCGGGTGGAGTGGGCGATTGGCATGGAAAGGGTCTGGGAACGGGAGGTCCAGAGGCCCTCGAGGCGGTGGGCGCCCCCGTGACGTCCCGGCGAGGCGGCCGAGCGCAGGGGCGAGCCCGGGCCCGGCGCGCCCTTCGCGCAACTGCGCCGCGACCCGCCTGCCGAGAAGGCCTCCTCCTCCTCCTCCTCCTCCCTCCTCCTCCTCCTCCTGCTCCTCCTCCTCCTCCTCCTCCTCCTCCCTCCTCCTCCTCCTCCTCTCCTCCTCCTCCTCTCCTCCTCCCCCTCCCTCCTCCTCCTCCTCCTCCTCCTCCTCCTCCTCCTCCTCCTCCTTCTCCTCCTCCTCCTCCCTTGTGCTTCTAGCGTGCCGCGGCGGCGGTCCCCGCGAGAGGGCGAGCGGGTAGCACGTCGCTCCGCTCCACGGGGCGGCCGGGTCGGGAAAGGCTCGGGACGTTGACGCTCGGGGGCCAGCAACTTCTTAGCGTTTCGCACCGAGGCGTGGTGGGCCAGAACCGGCGGAGCGGCAGTACGCCAAGCCAAAGGTCTCTCGACCGTAGCAGATTGTGGCCCGAAAAATATTGATACAAGCCCGCCGGGCCAGAGGCGTGCTAAGATCTCTGGTAACTGATTAACAATATATATATATATTCCCCCTGCCGATGCATTCGCCTCTCTGGTCAGCGCGGGGGCACAACAGGACTAGAGCCTTGAACGATACGCATATACCCATTAAACGTATCAGCGACAAGGGGAGGAGGAAGGGCAACAGCAGGAGCAGAGGAGGATGAGGAAGAACACGCAACATGTCAGGGCTGCGGCCGTTTAGCTCACAAACCAGATTTGGGCGTACCGGCCTATCCTGGGTGACGCGCTGGCCTATCCTGGGTGACGCGCTGTGGTGTGGAAAGGAAGGGGAAGAAAGGGGGGCGACGAGCGAAGAGAAGGGAGGGGAAAACAATCAAGCTCGCGAATGCGTGAGCCAGCCAGGGCTTCGCCTGGGGCACTCGCACAGATATCCCACACGAGCGGAGGAGCAGGAGGAGGAGGAGGAGGAGGAGGAGGAGGAGGAGGAAGAGGAGGAAGAGGAGGGAGGCAAATATGCATGATCACGTCCTCACGTGATGCACTTGTTGGAAGGCTCCGGGCCGTCACAGCGGGAGCGACTGGGCGAACAATATATTCTAGATCGCGCGCGCGGGGCGGCTTCTGGGGGCTCCCGGACGAAAAGTACCCCGAGCAGGTGCCGGCCACTGCGGGTCAGAGATGGTTTTCCTCCTCGGCGCTGCCTTCCAGGCCTCCCAGAGCGCCCCAGGAACGCGCCAAGAAGGCTCGGAGACGCCCCCGAGACGGTCCAAGGGACTCCGAGTCGCCGAAATATTGCTCCAAGACGCCCATGCTGGTCTCCAGACCGCCCTAGACGCCGCCGAGAAGCTCCAAGAGAGCCTCAAGAGGCCCTCCACAAGGGCCCCAACAGGCAAACATCGTCCCATTTCCTGAGGACAACGTACATTTTTGGCATAGACGACGCTCGGAGGTTCACAGCGTCCAAGACTGCCCAAGAGCCCCCCAAGATCGCCCCAAGATGGCCCAACATGCCCCCAAGATGCGCCCGAGAGAGCCCAAGAGGGCTCCAAGACGATCCAGGAGCGCTGCCTTCCAGGCCTCCCAAAGCGCTCCAGGAACGCGCCAAAAAGGCTTCGAGACGCCCTCGAAACGGTCCAAGGGGCCCCGAGTCGCCGAAATATTGCTCCACGACGCCCATGCTGGTCTCCAGACCGCCCTAGACGCCGCCGAGCTCCAAGAGAGCCTCAAGAGGCACTCCAAGAGGGCCCCAAGAGGGCCCCAATAAGCAAACAACGTCTCATTCCCGGAGGAAAACGTGCAGTTCTGGCATAGACGACGTTCGGAGGTTCACAGCGTCCAAGAATGCCCAAGAGCCCCCCAAGATCGTCCCAAGATGGCCCAACATGCCCCCAAGATGTGTATGCGCCCAAGAGGGCCCAAGAGGGCTCCAAGACGGCCCAAGAGGGCTCCAAGACGCCCCCAGAGAGGGAACTCGAAATGATATTTGAAGCATTCCGACCCAAAGGGCCACTCCGAGACCGCCAGCAGGCTCCCAAGAAGCACCCAGAAGTCCCAAGATCCCCCTGAAAGGCCCAAGATCAGGCCCCCAGGGCACCAAAACTGCCTCCAAAAGGCTTTCGCGACACCTGCCAGGAGACCCCAACACCGCCGCATCAAATGTCCCCTGCGCCCCATCGACAAGCCCCAGAGTTAGCATCCACGATCAGCAAGCCCCCACGAAGTTCCTCAAGTCCAACAAAACACCACACAACTAGCCGCCCCGTGAAAAAACGACCGACTCACCTGACAACTTCCAAGAGATCCAAACGAATCGCCCCAACATCATGCCCCACGCAACGCCTCAGAAAACAACCGATGCCTCTGCAACTCAACACCGCCAACGACCGCTCGGACAATCGACGCAGCAGTGCCCAAAAAGGGGCCGGCGGAATGAGCGAAGCGATTTAATAGTACTAAGAAAAGTACTGCCATCACTAAGAGTAATACCACTACTTATAATGAAAACACCAAGAGCAATACAATACATACGACGAGGAAGAGGAATACTAAGACTACGACGAGGCATATCAGCGCAAGACACATCAGAAGAAGAGGGCGAGTGAGCGAGTGAGCCCTAGGCAGTTAGAGACTTGCCTCAACTAAGGGGAGGGCGGTGGGCTGCATGTAGGCATGCGGGCCCGCCTACGGCAATAACATTTTTTCCCCACATCCTGAGTGGGGTTTTTGTTTTCCCAGAACATCATCTCTTTCTTTCTCCCGCCTCCCGCCTCCCATATCAACCACCCCATCCAGGGAGGCCCCGCCTGAGCGAGGAGGGTATCGGAAGCCAATACTGTTTACATGTTTTCGTGCCCCTCCCACCCCTCCAGGGAGGCCCCGCCTGAGCGAGGAGGGTATCGGAAACCAATACTATTTACAAGGTTTCGTGCCCCTTCCACCGCTGCAGGGAGGCCCCGCCTGAGCGAGGAGGGTATCGGAAACCCAAACTATTTACAACATTTCGTGCCCTTCCCACCCCTCCAGGGAGGCCCCGTCTGAGCGAGGAGGGTATCGGAAACCAACACTGTTTACATGTTTTCGTGCCCTTCCCACCCCTCCAGGGAGGCCCCGCCTGAGCGAGGAGGGTATCGGAAACCAATACTATTTGCAAAGTTTCGTGCCCCTCCCTCCCCTCCATGGAGGCCCCGCCTGAGCGAGGAGGGCACCGGAAACCGATACTATTTACATGGTTTCGTGCCCTTCCCACCCCTCCAGGGAGGCCCCGCCTGAGCGAGGAGGGTATCGGAAACCAATACTATTTACAAGGTTTCGTACCCCTTCCATCCCTCCAGGGAGGCCCCGCTTGAGCGAGGAGGGTATCGGAAACCCATACTATTTACATGGTTTCGTGCCCCTCCCTCCCCTCCAGGGAGGCCCCGCCTGAGCGAGGCGGGTTTCGGAAACCCGAACTATTTACATGGTTTCGAACCCCTTCCGCCCCTCCAGGGAGGCCCCGCCTGAGCGAGGAGGGTATCGGAAACCCATACTATTTACAAGGTTTCGTGCCCCTCCCACCCCTCCAAGGGGCCCCCCGTGAGCGAGGAGGGTATCGGAAACCAACACTGTTTACATGTTTTCGTGCCCCTCCCACCCCTCCAGGGAGGTCCCGCCTGAGCGAGGAGGGTATTGGAAACCCATACTATTTACATGGTTTCGTGCCCTTCCCACCTCTCCAGGGAGGCCCCGCCTGAGCGAGGAGGGTATCGGAAACCAATACTATTTACATGGTTTCGTGCTCCTCCCACCCCTCCAGGGAGGCCCCGCCTGAGCGAGGAGGGTATCGGAAACCCATACTATTTACATGGTTTCGTGCCCCTCCCACCCCTCCAAGGAGGCCCCGCCTGAGCGAGGAGGGTATCGGAAACCGATACTATTTATATGGTTTCGTGCCCTTTCCACCCCTCCAGGGAGGCCCGCCTGAACGAGGAAGGTATCGGAAACCCATACTATTTACAAGGTTTCGTGCCCCTCCCACCCCTCCAGGGAGGCCCCGCCTGAGCGAGGAGGGTATCGGAAACCCATACTATTTACAAGGTTTCGTGCCCCTCCAACCCCTCCAGGGAGGCCCCGCCTAACGAGGAGGGTATCGGAAACCCATACAATTTACATGGCTTCGTGCCCTTCCCACCTCTCCAAGAAGGCCCCGCCTGAGCGAGGAGGGTATCGGAAAACCATGCTATTTACAAGGCTTCGTTTCCTGAGCACCTGTCCTCCCTCCTCCTTTCTATCGTCTGCCCTTTCGTGCGGTGCGTACTTACTCGTTCGATGAGCTTCTCCTTCGTGTTGATGTTGTCGTACCCCATGGGTCCCACGAAACCGCTAATATCTTTATGTGGGGAACTCCGTTCGCATAATTTTGGCGTGTCGCAACGGCGGCCTGGGCGACACGCTATACCGTGCGAGTAGATAGCGTGTCGCTCCGCTCCGCGGGGCGGGAGGTCGGGGAAGGCTCGGGACGTTAACGCCTGGGGACCAGCAACTGATTAGCGTTTCGCGCCGAAGCGTGGTGGGCCAGAACCAGTGGAGCGATACGCTAAGCCAAAGTTCCTGACCGTAGCAGATCGTGGCCCGAGGCATGTGCGCGGACGAGGGGTGGGGGTGGGGGGTGGGGGTGCAGGGGACGCATGGAAAGAAGACGAATAATACGTATACTAATAACATGAAGGGAAGTGCATCACATGGATACTATTAACTATGCGATCAAGAGGAAGACTAACACTAACACTAACAGTAATACTAGTAATACTAGCAACAATGCTATACGACTTGCAATGCCACGAATCCTACTAACACATCGAGATAGGAGCCGCATAATTGGGCACACACACATGGTACTAATATGACTAACGCTCCGAACATGATAACACCACGTTGAATCATACTAGCAAGAGGACTCGTGCCAATAACAACACTAATAATAAGCATACAAGCAGTGCGACGAAGAGTCCGAAGACGGGGGCCATGACATCTGGGGGGACACCACAGCCCCGAGAACGATCCCCTCAGCCACGACCCCCCTCTCGTCCGCCCCCGATATCCGTGATCTGCCGCGCGCCGGGCA